AAATAGACTATTCCTACTATTCTGGCCTCCACCGACTTCTTCTCTACTAAGTAACCATGGCCTGAAAAGCGCAGCTGCCAGAGTTTAAGTTACTTAACCGCCTGCGATAGATTAACATCTCATCTAGCAGAAAATTACACCATTTTTCAATTTTTCTCCTTGAAAAAATATTTTTAGGTTTTCAACCAGGTTTAATCATAAAATAGTTTAAGGCCCTGAAATGTCCATTCATGAAGCATAACAACCGTTCTTTCATTAACGTTTTCCATGATGGTCCGCATCCATTGCAAAATCGCCCACTCTTTACATACAAAAAGTATAAAATTTTCCTTGCGAATAAATGAGTACACGAAGGACTATTTTAGTGCATATTTTTCATAGTATGCATTCAAATTTATAAGAGCATCGAAAATCAATGAGGAAATTTCGTACCACTTAAGCAGCCATTGTTTACAAAGTTTAACTGTTCCGGACGTCCGAAAGGAAGCGCGTTCTAAAGCCGATATCCTGGATTGACTAAAATGCCTTAGGGTATGCTGCACACTAAGTAATATTGAAATCAGACTTTCCATAGCAAAGACGCAATGTGGCATTGTTTCTAACATTTCGTGGGGCTGGTTGATACATTTTTTAAAACCGGAGTAGTGTGTATGACTGACTGATGACGGCAAATAAGCTAGAGATGGTCATTTCACTCTCCCATGTCTTTGCTGGCACTTCTGTTTTGTTTATACTCCTAGAAACTTACGGGTTGCTGGTGGGAATCGGGATCGAATCCCAAGACATAGGGACGAGCGCTCCCTACGATTTATGCGTGAAGACTCTGGGCCATATCACCTTCCTCCTTCGCAACGGCAGACTTTTATTCAATGGACATAAGTAGAAGTCAGATTTCCATCTTTCTTCCTTTACTAAAACCTGGGTGTTTTTCCTCTGATATTAAGCAGATCTGTTCTGGTTTACCTGCGGATGCCTTTAAATATAACAGTCTGAAAAGAATATTCAATATCGAAGCAGGCTTTTCGCGGGTAACCCTTTCAGTCTTCGCATTCCTAATGACAGCAGTCTTGCAACAATATTTCTAAAATAAAATTTTACAAGAACCGTAACATTCAATGTGCTTTGAGGCTTACGAAGTCAATTGACATAGAAGTCCATTTTAGAAATGTTTATTTTTGCAAATATATCTCTTTAGAGTCGACCTTATTAGCCCTTAGTCAGCCCATTATTGTAATTTTTTGTGGACTATGCTGCATACTGACCGCAACCAGGGAGAAGATATCCAGGATGGTTGAGCATACGAAAATTCCCCTATGAAGTATTTATAAATTACTTAGAATTACTTAGAAGGACCTCCCTTTGCATTCGGCTGGGTACCAAAACTATCAACCCCTCCATAATCAAGTAGAGATATACCATGTTCCAAGGGGGGGGGTGGTAGGAATGGTTTTAGGCTTAGTACATTATGGCTCAGAATACGCACAACATGCCAACATTTGCGAAAGATTGATACTCACTCGCTAATCAGCACTGAGTAAGGTTATGATACTGATTATCCTGTAGCGTATGCTTAAGTCAATTTAGTCTCGATAGGATGCTGGCTTCTTAACAAGCTTCGTTTTGACAACTAACAAAAAATATGTACTATAAAAAGTGGCTACTTAAGTAGTATGCAGTTTTATCATTGAGTTCGACTGACTTTATAAATCAAATATATTTTGTGGAAAACATTTGCGAAAAATACTTTCTCGTACACGTTTGGGAGCAAATTACGCCTTCTTTAAAAGTCATACTTAAAGGAAGGGTAGCTTTTAATTTTAAAATTTTTCTAAATTGCCGAATAATTCAGAATCCTACCGAAATTCAAGGTTTACAAACCGCATTACTTGTACATCCTGTCTAAGGAAAGGTAATTTTTGCCTACGGTTTGAGGAAGAAGTTACATAGTCCTCAGAAAATTTTGCAATAGATGTAAATCATGCTGTATACATCATAGGCAACATTCCTAAATTAACGGATACGATGTACAATGGATGAACACCTCACCATTGTAAAAAACCCACAATTAGAACTTTTTCTAAAACCGAAGGAAACCCTTTCTTTAAATGTGAAATTTAAAGAAGGCGTGATTTGCTACCAAACGAGTATAGGAAAGAATTTTTTCATGCATTTTTCCATATATAAGTTAGTCATAACCAATGACAAAAATGCATACCACTTAAGTGGCCAGTTTTTACAGTATATGCTTTTTGTTGGCGGTCAAAAAGGAGCTCGGTAAAAAGCCAGCATCCTATCGTGACTGAAATAACATAAGAATAGGCTACATGATAATCAGTATTATAACCTTACTCAATGCCGATTAGGGAGTGAGCATCAATCTTTCGCAAATGTTGGCATGTTGCACGAATTTTGAGCCATACTGTAGTTTTAGGACTAAATTTAGAACGCAGAAATATGTACCGACCTGGAACTTCGTCCAAAACCGTCTGTGTTACCGGGCTTTATAAATCCATGTCCAACCGTGTATTCAAAATTGTTGCAGAATATATTTTTACAATAGAATATGACGTAAATGCACTAAAAAAATCAAAGTGATTTGCTCTTTAGGAAACCTGCCCACCTAAAGACATGAAGACGAAATCAGTTAGCCCACAGGGCATCCTCTAAGTGGTTTTCGCCAAAGGTCAACTATGCGTGGCGTCTATTAATTCGGGGTGATTGAATTGCAGAATTGCGCTCTGAAATGAATCTATGGTTTACAGCCCTCGTAGGCAGTAAAGCTGGACTAAGTCGCATTGGACCGGACTGAACTTCTAGGTTTGAGGTTCGATTTAGTGTAAAGGTTAGGGTTAGGACATGGGAATATCTACCCACTCTGAAATATTTGCTCAAGGTCACATGTATTACCGGCTGGAGTCCTTTTCACATGTTCTACCCTCCGGGAATTCTGATGATTAAGTAGGATAATACTCTTAGGGAAGTATGCAATGAGCAGATTTTGAAAGAGCTAAACATGCCATCAGCTTAAATTATGTCCTCAGGCTGCCATGGAAATAAATTCGCTGCGTTGCAGCAATGGCGGATCTGACCAATAAGTAGTAATCAGAAATATATACTAGGTTTGAGAATGTCTATTTAAAAGGGAGGAGTGTGTGATTCATGCTGAACGTTGGCAATGCACCAGGGGTGTTAAAATAATCTGTTAATAATGCACTAGTCTGCTTTAGTTTTGTTTACTAATTTATGATATTTAATTGGGGGTCGCCTATGTGGCCCCCATCCGGCAGGACACGTGAACAGGAACGTTATCTTACTAGAGGTGGCTTTGCGATCAAGGTCACTTATTTCCGTACACTAGCCCCAAATCATACCTTACGCGTAACCCTGATCGTAAGCTTAATTCTAAATGCTACCCGATCCCTGATTCTTGTGGAATTGAGCTGAAAACTACTGTACTACGTACGGTTACCTCGTTCTTGTTCTGTAGCTGGCGGGGGCACAGAAGCTAACCTTATCACGATATTCGTTCAGTCCGTTAATCCAAATTGCTATTTTAGCAATCTTATGCTGTCCCATTACGTTAAGCTATTTACTTTCAGTTTAATTGGCAAGTATAATAGGTAATGGCTTTGAAAAACCCTACTGTCTACATGCAGTTCAAGGCCTACAGCTGTAAACCAAAATAGATTCTAATTGCTAAAACGACTACTCATACTAAATAAGTAGCACAGTTTAAAATTATAAACATGATGAAATCCTTCTGATAACGAGGCTTATAAGCATCGATTTTCCTCAAATGATACTGATTCAGCGCCGGGGAAAGGCATTTTATTCAGACATATTCCAGTTATTTTGGCCTACTTTTGTATTTCTATAGTTCTATTAACTCGAAGTTGGTATACAACAATTTTTATCCTAATTCAAACAAACAATCCCACTAATCAATGATTTTATCGTTGGTGTTTCGGCTGCGAATGAAGACACAGCATTCAAGTTCACCACTGCCATTACTAAAAGAGACCAACAGTTCCTATTCCAAATAGAGTGCTTAAGTCTACGGCCTAAAGACCAAAGTGGATGTGTTGGTGGTCAGAAGTAAAAGTAGTTGGAGGCCTAAGTTGAACAGACAGGAACGAATTCTAGAAGGCTTTATTGACGGTATCAAAGCCAACTTACGTTTCGGATTGCCCAGCAGGGTGCTTCTTTAGTTTAGCGAGGCAAAACAACGGCGTGTTTATTTGGTTGGCTCAGATCCACTGTATGATTTCAAGGTGTACGCGATGGTGTGCGAGTAAATCACAGGTTTCGAACGCGAGGGACGGTGTAATACTTCGGTGAAGTTACGGTGCGTCTGGGCACCGGCAATTAGGGTCTCCTACATGGTCTCCACGGCCGGTGAACCCAGTCTTCTAGAGGAATGGTTGCCCTTCAAAGTCCAGTTTCAACAATTGAGGATTGCGCGGGGATGCCACCCAGGGAGGAGTCAAGTGGGCAAGTCCTTGACTTAAGGGATTTTTTCATACAAAACTCTGATCAGAGGGCTGGTATACAAAGTTCCGTCAGTGGCCGTCGATGCTGTCTTTTTCAGCCGGCATAGTGGGATAGGTAGGTGCCACAGTCAAGGCCCTTTGGACAAATGGTGTCGCACTTCAGATAAAATCATCGACGAAATAACCAAAGCACGGGAAAATGAAAATAGACAGCTTCCAAGCCTCTTAAAAGTAAAAGTGGACTAAAAATGCTTAGTAAAATCAAGATAGACGTGGACTTAATTTTCAGCCGATAGTCCGGCTTTGACAAAAAATTTAAACGCAGATAAGGGATTCACCGATCTCTGAAACATCTACTGGCTTCCGAATGCGCGCACTGGGTCCGAGCATGTCAAAGACCCACTCCTCCCAGGGGACGATGACCTGTTTGGGTGGAACTAGGATTCGGGGGTGTCTGCCGACATCTTTGGGGTACCAGATAAGAGACTGAGCAGCATTACAGTGTGGCGGAAACGTTGCAGCCACCGGCAGTTTATGAATTCGGGTGGGATCGGCCATCATTATGCCACCGTCCTGTACATCATAAATTTTGCGAACGCGTTTACCAAGAGGCATTGTTGGATCCACCTGCATGTGCAGATTGTACTCCCAGCGAATCTTTTTGAGCACTGTGATTTCATCTTTCATTGTCTTCTTGCCGTATTTTATAGCCACAAGCCAAATGAGAAACTTTTGTTTTCGATTGATCTCAGAAAGTCGAACTCCACCCGAATAGGGCAGCTCCCAAACAACTGATGGATGGAAGTAATCCTTAATTTGCAAATTAAGCGTCATTCTTCGAACAGGTCCCCTCTTTATGTTGTAAAGACTTTGGTTCACACTATAAAAAGGGTACTGTCGTCCATCACTATCATTAATTAATTTCCTTAGGCCACTTTTAAGTGGGTGGAACTCCCAGAGAGAATTGCCGATTCCGCCGTAATCATTGGCAAGATACATGAAATCGCATGCCTGTACAAGACCGATTGTCCAATCTTTGTCAGCGGTACATGTTGGGATTTCTAATTCAACTTTACAGTAAAAGGTTTGAGTCTTGTAATACAGCATAGACTCTGTTTCCTCCACCTCTGTTCCCGTTGAGTTGTCATAGTAAGCACGTAAACCTTTCAAGTGGATCTTGTCTACTGTCAGCTTGCTCATCTATTTGCTGAATCATAGACTTGTGGTTGCCAAGCTTTTTTACAGGGGTACAATGGTATTTCAAGTGCGTATGTGTGTAGCTGAGTTCCACGTAAGGTCTTCAGTATATCAAAATTTACTACAGTATTCTTGCGTAATCCTCGAAATTCCGAGCGGTCGCAAGCCTGACGGTGAGTGGTGCCGGAGTTTATATATGCATTGTTGTGTAATCCAGTGTAAGTTGTTCGGTGCTTTTGATTATAAATTGTGTCGGCAGCGCTCTAACCGCAGGAATCGTGGCGACACGCACCGACAAGTGAGTCTGATGCGCAAAATGGAAAACGTGCTTTTTAAAATCTCAATCGATCCGTTCCTTACATACAGTGTTGATGCCATTTCGCCTGTTCTTCGCCAAGTGGAAGGACGCGCGGCATGTCTCCGTGCAAGGCTATGTTGGGATAATGTCATCATGCCCGAGTATGAACTTATGCATTACGACTCCGTGAAATTCGGGACAATTTGACGGACATGCTGCGTCGCTATTTTGTGAGGACTGTCGAAGGAAGCGTATCAACAAAAGGACTGGGCGCGGAATGGATTCTTCTGACTTATTTCGCCTAGCTACGCAGGCGCACAATGACTTCAGGACTCGGAGACACAAAATATTAGTCATAATCTCTTTCTGTCAGCAAGAAGAAAGAAAGTTCTCGTCCGTGATCCCGGTCCGTTGTATAGGTAAACTAAATAAACAGTAGGTGGGCATTCCCATGAAATTTTAAACTAAATAATGAAATGTGTTTTGGACTAAGAACTATTGCTTAGGTACGAATGTACTACTTATTACCGTGCAGCATAATCTCAAGATATTGCACTTAATTAGGGCTCCCAGGTTTTGGACTAGCTTAATTCCAGCCGCCGGCGAGGACTAAAATTGGTAGAAAAAATGACTACTACATTATAATTTAGTATGCATTTTCTACAACGCTATTTAATATCCCTGTAAAATCAAACATATTTTACAGAGAAAATACAAAACAACATTCTTTCTAGTAGCCCTACGGTACTGAATTGTGTCTTCGTCAAATTTTATACTCAAACAATAGCTATCTTTCGGTTTTAGAGCAGTTTCCTTTTGTGCGCTTTTTAAGACCATGAAATGTCTACTCATATAGCTTCACATCTGCTTAATAAGTATACAATACGGTCCACATCCATTGTGGACATTTACGAACCATTCTTAATGGCGTATAGAAATTTGAGATCTTCCTTACTGTTACGACCAGCGCCTAGTACATGTAATTAGCACGAACTCTGAGCCATCCCAGCTTTTGCCCTGAACGCCCGCACGAGAGGACAAGAGATGTCAATCGGTCTGGATAAGAAGTTTATTCACGTAGAACACGTCAAGGCAAGAAAGTGCAGGTCAAGCAAGTCAAGTCACTCTTACAAAAAGGGTGAGGGGTATTTATTCAGTCCACTCCATGAGCAGACGTCAGCGACAGGGAACCAATCAGCTATGACGAAAAATCGATAGCCACGGCGCGCTCTCACGACAGCTGCGCGGACTTGCACTCACGGGGCCTTATGATGCTCGTGGCAATCAGTGCATTCCCAACAATTACCCAGGAAACCCCATTTCAGGATATCTATTAATATTTCCTGAGATAGTCCACCTATTTGTTTAACCGCTTCTTTGTCTGCTTTCGCTGACGGGAGAGCACCTCTTACGAGGAGACGTAAGTACAAACAACATAGATGCTGCGGACAGCGATGGTATTGGTCAGAATTCATACGACGTGGGAGTGGCGCACACGCCAGAATTTGATGTCGTGCAGTCAAACGGTCGGAATTCAGTGAATACCTACTGAGCTTGCGGTTCTTTTCTTCGTATTCGTACTTGGAGGAGTTTCTGTATTCCAAATCTCGGAATTTCTTTGTGAATGTTAGCGACGCCAGTCACAAACAACTTTCGATGGTTGTTCGGAGTTACCTCGTCCGCTCTGCAGACGCAGCGCCTTTAGCTAGCCGTCAGGCGTCTTCTAATTATGAGCTTTTTTACGACTGTGAGGTGTTCATTCATAACGCATTATATCCGTCAATTTATTAATGCTGCCTATAGTGTATACAGCATGATCCACATATCTTGCAACATTTTATGAGAACTATGTGACTTCCTCCTCAAACCGTAGGCGTAAGTGTACTTTTCCTTGAAGAGGATGTACACAGCGCGCAGTTTGCAAACCTTGAATTTAGGTGTGACAGTCAGGAGGTTTAAAATTATTGGACAGGTTAGAAACTTTTTTAAAGCCGAAAACTTGCGCATAAATCCTAAGTACTCTCCGTCTTATCAAGATGTCAGTCCCTCCGGTTCGCGATCTGGCGGGCCCTTGGCGATTCACCATTTTGCCTAGCACTCTCAGAGCCTGTTATTGTGTCCAAGCAGTGCGTACGTTTGAGGACAATGTTGTTTATTTACTTGGGTCGCCTCATTCTCCACTGTTGAGAATTACAATACGGAATTGACGAACCACAA